CTCGTGAGGAATGTACTTCTTAGAACAATCAATTATATGAAGACCAAATGGGCAACATTTCCCTGAAAGCAAAGATGAGAAGGCAAGAAGGGGCAGGTGAACTGGAGGAATGGAAATGAGAAGAGTGCTGACATATTGCAGGGATAGCAAGCAATGTCATGGAACAATTTGTGTATAATTCTTGAATGGGAAACTAATTTGCTATGTAAGCTTTCACTTAAAACATCATGTTGTTGTTGTTATGTGTTGTGGTGGTTATGTGGTGTGTTAACTTGGCTGGGCCTGGTTAAGTGGCTGGGCAACTGGTGGTAGTTATTCCCCATGATGAGAATGGCAGTCAACTCCATGGTAGGATCTACCACAAGCAGCTGAGTAGCTGCCTTGGGATGTGGTCTGCTTCCTGATTTAAGGAGAAGCCTTGGGAATGGTCTCTAGCCTATGGCACACTTGGACCCTGCACGTAGCTGTGTCGTTGCTCAGCAGCCTACCATGTCTGCCGAACTTGGGACTTACAATGGACTTAAGTAATGGCCTGCCGTGTGTGTGGTTTGATAACATCGGGACTGTGCCTTTTTACTTGTCAAACTTGAGGCTTCTCAGCCTCAGCAGGCAGCAGCTGTCTGAGTGAAGAAACACCTCTAGCTCTAGTGGGCCAGAAGCCGGAGGCTGAGGTGGACCGCATGGTTGAGGGGCTTTCACCCAGCCCCTAGAGCCTGGCACTTTGAACTTGGACTTAAAGCCTCCAAATTGTAAGAATAAACTCCTGTTAAGGCCATCCCATTTGTGATATATTCTTGTCAGAGCGGCACTATTACAGTAACCAGAACATGTGCCATCGAGTCGGTCCGGACTCATAGCGACCCCTTTTTGGGTTTCCGAGGCCGTATCACTACGGAAGTAGATTGCTCAACCTTCGTTCCAAGGAGTGGCTGGTGGGCTTGAACCACCAGCCTTCTGGTTAGCAGTCAAGTGCCTTAGGCAAAAAACTTTTCGTAGATGAAAAGTAAATGTTATTATACATGTCCTATTTGCTAGTGAAAAACGATTTTTTCCCTATTTTTATTGTCTACTTGTATTTTTTTGTTTTTGGAAAAAACAAATTGAGTATGATGTAAAAAAAATTGAGTTTGATGTAAAATTGATTATAGAAGCTTTATTCTATGTGTAAGAAACAAATTGGAACTTTTTTTTATTGATAAGTAAGGTTCTTTTTATACTAAAGATATATTGATCATTTGTTATAATTGTCACAAGTAGGTTTTTTTCAGGCTATAATTTTTCTTTTAATTCTTATTGTGTTTTTGATGTTACAGAAGTTAATTTTATGTAGTCAGATTTATTGTTCTCTTTGCTTATGCCTTCATTGCTTTTCTACCTATAAAATTCTTCTCTAAGATAATTTTAATCTGTCTTCTCTGTTTTGTTATTATGGTTTCGTTTCTTTACATGTAATCCTTATCTGTCTAAATTTTATTTTTGAGTATGATGTAAAATAAAGACCTTATTTTTTTCCCCCTGTAAGAGTAATTTTAGCCATATATTCATAATATTGCATGGGTAAGTTCCTCTTGATTACACTTCTCAGAATGTTCTTAGTTGTTTGTATTGTTGTTGTTGTTGTTGTTATGTGCTGTCGAGTCGGCCCCGACTCATAGCGACCCCTCCTAGGGTTTCCGAGGCAGTATCACTACGGAAGTAGGATTGCCCAACCTTCCTTCCGAGGAGTGAGTTGTTTGTATAGCTATTGTATTATCTGTTGCTTTGTACAAAATTAACCCAAAACATGGCACCTTAAAAACAACAAACACATATTATGCCTCAGTTTTTGTGGGCCAGAAATTTAGGAGTGGTTTAGCTTGGTGGTTTTGGCTCAGAGTCTCTCATCAGATCCCAGTAAAGATGTCAACCAGGACCACAGTCATATGAAGGCTTGGCTGGGTCTGGGGAATCTACTTGCAGGATGGCTCACTTATATGGTTGCTAGCAGAAAGTATCAGTTCATTGCTTGCTATTGGCAGGTGGCCATAGTTCCTCACCACATGGACTTTTTCATAGGGTTGCTTGAGTGTCCTTACAACATGGCAGCTGACTTTCCCCCAGGGGCATGATCCAAGAGAAGGAGAACTAGGTGGAAGTCGTAATCTTTTATGATCTTGCCTTGGAAATGGCATTCCATCAGTTCTGCTGTATTATACTGGTCACATAGATTAACTTTGATATAATGTGGGAAGGAACTGCATAAAGGCATGAAGATCAAGAGACAGGAGTTATTGTGGAGGTGGGGGAAGGGGAGAAAGGGGCTCTTGGAGTCTGATTATCATATCTCCTAGGATAAGAAATTTAGGATCGTTCTGTCTCTCCTTGTGTTGATGCCTTTCTATTTGTTCAGTATCATTTATATCCCCAAACCAAGGTAGCATTTAGAAGTTTCTTCTTCCCTTAGTTTTTGTCCTGTGACCGTATCTGATTGTTAGATTTAAAGTCAAGTGGAGCTTATCATCTTGGGCTTTGCTATCACTGATGTTACAAGTAGATTTTGGACAAATTATCACTCCTATATTGTTACCTTTTCACATCCCTCATCTAGCATTTTTTTGGGCTATCAATTTTGATAAAGTAATAAATGTAAATTACGAAAGAAATATAGATTAAAGACATTTATGTTTACTTACACACATGAACAACAACTAGAAAAAGCCTGTTGCTGTCAATTCAGTTTCGACTCATGGCGACCACACATGTTACAGAGTAGAATTGCTCCATAGAGTTTTCTTGGTTGTATTCTTTACAGAAGTAGGTTTCTAGGCCTTTCTTCTGTGGTGGTGCTGCTGAGTGAGTTTGAGCTGCCAACCTTTAGGTTAGTAGATAAGCGCACACCATTTGCTCTACTTAGGGACTTGTACACACATATATCTATGCAAAAATATGCACAGGTACACATGCACTCGCATATGCATATACACACTTTGAGCAATAGGGAAGAATCCCAAAGCTTTAAGGCAGGGAGGATCCCAGAGAAGAGAAAAGACTTGTCCAGGGTCACACAGTGTTATAAAGGTTCATGAAAACCTTGGTGTTCACCTTCAACCTCCCCACCCCAAGCCTAACTCATCCTACATTTATAAAACAGCAGATGCAAAAGTGCATTAACGTGATGAAACTGGATGGATATGTGTTGACATTACAGTGTCTTCAGAATGGAGAGGGAGTACTCAGCAGTTGTTAGGAGGTGGGAGTCTCACTCTGCTTGTGCCTACTTTCCTCCCTGAAGTTTGGTTGTGGTGCTTCCCAGTTAACTCAAAATTGTATTTGTAGGAGCTAGAAATTCTGAGCACACATCCAAGTGAAGGTGATTGGGCAGTTTCCTAGGTCCCCAGGGCCACTTCTTTGCTTGTGGATTGTCATCTATGATTCCCTGTAGCATGTACTTTCGGAAAGCAAACCAGCAATCAACTAGTAATTGTTTCCTTCTGTGTGGATTTTTTTTATTCCAAGAGCCTGACTGCCATGGCAAGTAGGAAGTTGGCTCTTGGGCACATAAAGGGACCTGGAATGAGGCGTCAGGACTGCATTGTAACCATGATTGTGGTAACCCTACAGCCCTCATTTTCCAGCACAGTCCTGATTTCAAAATTTTCTCCTATTGGCTTTATAAACAATCCAAGTGCCCTAGAAATTCCACCATCTAAACTGTATTTTCTAAAGAGTTTCTTATTGCTTAAAGAAGTATAGAAATGCTTGTGAGACTATGTTGTCGCTGTTTTGTTTGAAAAATTTATCACTTATGCAAAAATTTTATTTATTTTATTTAATTTTTAAGTGATGGAGTTTAGAAAGACAAAAGTCCTGTCTGGGTCATATCACATTTGAAAGGGCTGACCTGATAGCCCAGGGCTGTGAGGAAACCCAAACACTTTTCCCCTTTAGTTATTTATCTAAGCACAAGTGCAGGCATTAAGTCAGTGTTGTGTTCAATTTCTGCTGGACACAGAGCATCATGCTAGGAACTGAGCTAAATATGACATGGACTTTGCTGTCCATGACCCCATAGCCCATAATGGGAAGATGAGATATGGATAAACAAAATAATTCATACAAGCTTAAGAATATAAATATGTCTAGCAATATAGAGATCTCCTAATTGGGAAAATTCAGAAACTATTCAACTCATTAAACTTCGTTAAAATGACTATTTTAATTGTTTACCATTTATGTCTGTGTAACCAACCAATATAATGGCTTAAAACTACTACCACCATTTAATTTGTTCATAATTTCATGATTTGAGCAGTGCTCAGCAGGATGGCTCATCCCTGATCTTTATGAGGCTGGGTGCTCAAGGACCCAAGATAGCTTCACTTAGATGTCTGTCACCACAGCTGGGATGGCTGGAATGATTAGATTAGGGCTGTCTCTGTAGTAGGGCAACTAGACTTCTTTACATAGTGATTTAGAGTGGGAAAGCAGAAGCTGTCAGACCTCTTAAGGCCTAGGCCCACTTCTGTTGTATTGTATTGATCAAAGCAAGTCATTGGCCAGCCCAGAGGAGTGGAAAATGCACATACCATGGAAAAAATGGAATGAATTGTTGGTGGCCATCTGTGCAACCTACTATATTCATGTTTAAAACAAACAACTTTGTTAATCTAATAGCAAAAGAATGGTAGCTCATCGCTTGAATTTGCATGCTTTTGATTATTTGTGAGTGCTAGTTTGTGTTTTCTCCAGTTGTCTAACTATGTAAACTTCCATATCCCTATGGACACAGTCATCCATCTCTGACATGTCTTTTCCTACCATGCCCAGTCCAAGGTTAGATAAAGATGAATTCTGTAGAATTTATATTGTGAGTGATTGTTTATGTTGAGGCGGATGTGGTCTTTCTAGGGTTCTTATCCCCTTTTCCTTCTCCTTTAACTACCTTGCTCTTTATCTTGCTCAGTTCCTTGCCCATGATGTCCACCCTTCTTACTAAGGTTCCCACCTCTCTCTCGTTCCAGGCACTAAAACAGGTGCAGATATTAGTGATGGTAGCTGTGAGCCTGAACTCACTTCCCCGGCCTCCTGCATGAACCCCTTCCCAGTGCTCCATCTCATCGAGGACTTGAGGCTGGCGCTGGAGATGCTGGAGCATCCTCAGGAGAGAACGGCCCTCCTGAGCCAGATTCCGGGCCCAACAGCTGCCTACATAAAGGAGTGGTTTGTGGAGAGCTTGGTGAGTAGCTTGCTTAAGGAATCCCTGGGGAAAATAAAGTGATGGTCTATGGCATTCCTCCACTGACTGGGGCTGCTCCTTCATCTGTGCACCTCCTGACCTGGCCTTTTCTTGCTTTCCACCCAGCTTCGTCCCCTGCTGGGTGGTCTTTCCCAGGAGTGTAGAGCCTAATCAAGAAATGTAAACTATACATTTCCCCTGCCTTTGTTCTACTTGCCTCTCTCCTGAGGCAAGGAAACCAGGGTCAGAGAAGAGCAAACATGGTGAGTTTTTTTCAGGGGTTACATATACTATGCACTGAGTTAATAATCTATGGCTGCTCTACTGTCAGCTAAATCCCTCTGTCCCATATTCATTACCACAAACTAGAGCCTGGTCACCTCATGCATTCCTTTAACTGCTGCTCCAACCCTTCAAGCTCTTTACCTTGCAACTACTTCCTGTCCCTCAAGTGAAATACAGATTTCCTAGCTTTCCTTCTCCTACTGTCTCTCACCCAAGCCCATGGGCCTGCTAGTCTTTAAGGGAAGTAGATGGGTTATCAAAACTGGAAATGTGGGATAAAGGACAAACAATTTCAGAAAGGTTCTCCTAGTAGTGATCTCCAGTCTACAAGGGAAGAAATAGAACCAGACCTGTCTTATCTAGAGTATGTAGGTAGAAAAACAAGTTCATGGACTTTATCAGTTAGGGTGATTTTGGATACAAGAAAATAAAAACTCCTGCCTTAAAGTATAAGGAAATGAATTATTTCATTTATCAGTTAGGTCAGAGGTAGGGCAGACCTTGGGCATGATAGATTTTAGTAGATAAGTAATGTTTAGTGAGATTATGAAAATCAAAGGTCTTTCCCACTTTTTTACTCTGCCATCTTCCCTGTTGATTTTGTTCTTAAGGTGGTAGGAAGATGGTTGTGGCAGTTCCAGGTTTCCTACCCAGGCTCAACAATTTGTAGAGATAGAAGAGAGAGTTTTTCTTGGTGTTTTCTTAGGAGACAGACAACTTTTCTCAGAATCCCCTCATTAGACTTCTTGTATTACATTGACCAGAATTGGACTACTACCCATTCTGCAGCTATACCTGGCAAAGGGGAATAGGATAATTTTTCAACCAATCAGGCCCTCCTCTGGAGCTGGGGAGAGATGGGTAGTGTTCAGAAGGAAAAGAGGAAGAATGAATGCTGGGTAAATAGCCCACAACATCTACTGTACATACAGTTCGCCAACTATCAAGACGAAGGGCCAGACATTGTGGAAAGCTTTCTAAGGTTAGTTGTCCTTTATCTCACCTATATTTTTTCTTTTATTGTGATTTGGGTAAAAATTTACAGAGCAACTTCACTTTCCATACAGCAGCTCACATATACTTTGTCTCATGACATTAACTACAATTTACCACAGTACAACATCTCCCCTCCCACTTCCTCCCAATAGTTACCTCTTCCCTGTGTCCATCTCTCAGTGTACTCCTGCCCCCTGAGTTGTCACCCTGTGCATAAACAGCCCATCTTTCTCCCATGATTGTTCTCTCCAAAGAGTGTATCTACCTAATGTAAATGTTCAACTCATATGCCTATCCTTTGTTTGGCTGGGAGCCCAGGTGTGAATTCAATTCCAGACCCAAAGGGCAGCTTGGGGCCATAGTCTCAGTGGTTCCACCAAGCTCTATCAGACTAACAAACTTGGTCCCCCCCTCCCTTTTTTTTCCCCCCCAAATGATTTTGAGTTTTGTTCCACATCGTTCTACCTCTCTCTCCAGGATCTCCTACATAGATCCTCCTCTGAGTGGTTGACAATGGTAGCTAGGCACTATCTAGTTCTGGTCTCATAGTCATATAGGCTGCAGATCGCGTGGTGTGCCAGTTGCCAGGACTAATTGTTTCCATGAATCTTTGGTTTTTTTCATTCTTCTTTGCTCTGGACGAAGAGAGACAAATCATTGCATCTAGATGACTGCTGGCAAGCTTTCAAGATCCCAGTCACTACTTACCAAATTAGGAGGTGGAACAATGTTTTGCATAGTATGTTATGCCAATTGAACTTGATGTCCCCTGCGATTATGGTCCCGAGGCCACCGAAGTGACTACTGGCTCCCTCTGGGTAACTGGCTGTGACCAAGAACTGACTAGAAACTTGTCCCTTGTCAGCTCTACTATACACCTGAGAATTCTTACTGATCATACAAATACACTTATAGGACCATGGTCTACCAACCCTATACATGGTCTTGGGTACACTCCCCTCTACATAGACATGCCTAATCCATCTATCCACCTGTATACCCATGTTTGCCTTCACTGACAATTCAGTACTGTATGTGCAAAAGGGTTCATCTTTGTTGTCTGAACCTCCCATGCACCTCTCTATGTCTTCCTCTTCCTCAATGCCACCATGTTGATCACTCACATTTGGCACGTTGCCCTTCTCTTCACCCAAACCAGTACTTATCTCTATCTATCTAACAGTGTTCCCTCCCTTCCCCTCCCACCCCTGGTAGCCAACAAAGAAAATTTCCTTTCATAGATAAACCTTTCCTTGACTTTTACAATAATGGACTAATACCATATTTGTCCTACTGTGATTGACTTATTTCACTCAGCATAATGGACTCCAAGTTCATCCACGTTATGCTGTGTTTTGCAGCTTTTATGTTATTATTTAGGGTTGCATAGTATTCCCTCATGTGTATGTACCATAGTTTGGTTATCCATTCCTCAGTTGATGGACATCAAGGTTGTTTCCATATTTTGGCTATTGTAAATAGTGCTGTAATGAACATTGGTGTGCATATGTCTGTTCTTGTCATGGCTCTCACTTCTTTAGGATATATACCTAGTAATGGAATGGCTGGGTCAAATGGTATTTCTAATTCCAACTTTGGAAGGAGTTGCCATATTGTTTTCCACAATAGTCGGACCATTTTACAGTCCCACCAGCAGTGTATGAGAGTCCCAATCTCTCCACATCCTC